ACTGTTCCAATTGCAAATCGATTATTCGATATGGAACACAGAATGATATTTTAATTATTTTAATTATCTTATTTTAAATACATTGTGATTTGACGGAATAACCAAATATTTAATTTTAAACATTAATAAACCATAAAAGCAGACTAAATATGAAATATAATAACAATGTGTTCATTCTAAGCAAGTGCACGTGTACACAGACATGCAGAGAGCTTAACAGGGATTCAATCATGCCTGAAAGACATCCAGTTTTTTGTTTCCAACTATCCCAGTACTTTGACAGAACACACACAAACGTGTGCAAGTGAGCATTCACACATGTGCGTGCGCGCGCACACAGAATATTCCATATTCAGCCACCACAGAGGGAGACGGAGCCCCTACAGTCAGTAAGCAACAAAATCTCCAGTCACGGGATTCTGAACATCATGAATCGCTGGTAAAGGCATTGAACTGTGTACAGGAGACGCAACAGACACATCATGACAATTCGCAGTCAAATGATTAGAAAGTCCAGATGAGGAGGGTCATTTGCCCTCTGTGGTTCTCAAGGATTAGCTTGCTTGGCTGTCAACTGATGGAACAAAACATAAAGCAATGAATACGTGTAAGACTGCTTTTGCACGGCAAGAATTCTGTCATGGCCGCCTACCAAGCAGACCAGAGACGGAAAAAAGGTCACTCAACTAAAGGATTTCATATATATTATTCAATGAGATTCCCATTTAGGTATCTCAAAGAGAACAGTGGATTTGAACACACCTTAAATGGAAGGATTTTAATACTGAGCTTCTGATTTGGAATAAGTAAAATTAAACCTTAAGACAAGTATGTCAATACTTCAAAATGAGGCTGCAATGGTACGGCTGTTGGGCAAAACATCTCAGCTGCAGAAATAATCCTTGCTGAAGGCCAGTGAGGTAGTCCTATTGTAGAGCCTTGAGAACCACTGCCATGATTTATGCATTCATGAAAGCATTTCTATATGTGCTACACTACATTCTCTACTGTACTTTGGTGTCACACCCAGACGCCATGTGGGTTCTTGCTGGTCGGAACAGCATTCTCTAGTTGCCTTGGCGATCCTATCATCCTGCGGGTGCTGCCTGGCTTGTGTGGGCCTGCGATAGAACACAGTCCATCAAGAAATTACGAATAGACACAAAATCAGGAGAGACATAATAAGGAATGTAAAAATAACAAAGACTACATGGTAAATTATTAAAAGATACACAGTATTTGTCAATGTTTGTCTTCTAGGTTGTGATGTGATACGCAGTGCCATTACGTAACCATGCAACAGATGAGACACCGCCTATGGACGAGGCACTGTGATGAGAGAAACAGTATTATGCATGCGAGAAGAAAACTGAAATTTCAGTCAACGAATCTGCCTGTGGATTTTATGAATGATATTTTATTTCTTTTAAGACTTAATGAAAATAAAGTTTAATACATACATAAGCCTGAAGGAGAAAGATAAGTCTCATTTATTATGAATTAACACTATATAAATCCCTCTTAGTTTTTTGAAGAAAATACATCACTTTTATGGTTATGACAAGCAGAAAACTTTCATAAAAATCCGCAAAACTGAACAGGAAGAATGCGATTATTGAAAGTTGCAAAATGTGTGTAAATTATGCAATGAAATATCAGGAGCATAAAATCTATAGCTCATATAATTGGCATACAGAGAGCGTAACCCAGAAGATCATCTGCAACGCTCATAATTTCCAGAAACATTATACAGATACAACACAGAGTAGCTTACCTAGGCAGAATGTGGATCCTGTTGACAGCATGGGACACAAAGCAAACAGTGGTTACAACTAGCGGAGCACACCGCAGGGCTACTATCTCACGTGAAACAGAAACTCACCTTCCAGCAGGTGCTTCACCTCATCAGCTGGTGCGATTGCCAGGCTCTCTAGATTTGCCTCTTTCATCTCTGCCACCAGGCGCTCCACCTGCTGCTTCTTGTCTGCAATGGCTGCCTCCAGCGACTGAACCTACGTCACAAAGTTGAGACTTTGCTTACTTAATGGCACCAAATGAAATATGCCGTGATGATTACGAATGATGAAAAGACAAGAACAAAGTGGCAATTATAGCCAATCATAAATTACATTGAGGGACCAAAGAAAGAACTTTGGCTGCCTTCATGACCAACATTCAAAAACTTCATGCCTCAACATGATATTTGCTGTTCAGCTTCAACTGGGCCTTAATATACAGTTTTTTGTGAAAACAATAAAGAATAAACTTTTGGATACCTCACAGCATGAAACAAAGTCACACGGTAACAATAAACGTTGTAAAGAGAACTGCGTACAACGCAGTATATTAGTTTACAAGTATTCTGAACACAAATAAAATTTTGTTTCTCTAGGAAGCTATGCCTAACTATGAAGACGCTCCACGCCTCTGATGAAGCATCTCCCAAAGTAGCAGTAGCGATCCCCCCAGGGGAACGTAAAACTTTCTTTTGCGAGGGGGGGCAAATGATAAATTTATAACCCAAAAATACTGCTGTGAAGAAGAAACAAGAAAACTACTAACATACAGTTTAACAGAAAAGTGCTTCACATTATTAAATAGAATTATATTATTAAACATAACAATACAATTAATTATTTGGTTTTCCGTCAAATTTACAATGTATTTAAAATAAGATAATTAAAATAATTAAAATATCATTCTGTGTTCCATATCGAATAATCGATTTACAATTGGAACAGTTACAACATGTTTCGGTTTTATTAAACCATCATCAGGTGTAAAATTATATTAAATTTAAAACTCAATTACAATTATTTACAATTTTTTCGTAGTGTAGTTTTTTGGAGGTCGTGTCCAGATATTTTCATATTCAATTCAAAGAAACATTAATGAATATGGATGAATATAGAAAACAA